AAAAAAAAAACAATTATATAGTTTCGTTGAATAGAAGTCCCTATAGACATGATTAATTGAACATCGACATATATTGTGTAACCGTAACAAATATAAATTACGTGTGCATAACGGAACTTAATGAAAAACGCTATATAATAATGACGTACGTCTTGTACACAGTTTACGGTTAAAATGTAACTCTGCGGTGATATATTAGCCTAAATATCACGCTGAAACGACGTACAACAAAGCTTTTCTAGAAACATTATAATAATAATAGTATGTCTGAAACGAAAATACGTTATTAAAACGCGTCGTCGTAAATAGTTTAAATTTGTCGGAGAAAAGCTTTTCGAAAATGCTAATATTAATTTCCYTTCCTCTCGCCACTGTTTTCGGCGTGTTCCGCCGATACATTATTCATTGTTTCAAAAACACAATGTCTTATTTGACACTTAGGTATGTACACTGCCTGCTGATCCGCGTATTTCGTCACATTTTTCGGCTAAATATTTCGATCTTTCGCGGAAATATTGCGCTCGAGTAGTGTATGAAATTAATTTCGTCTACTGCTACATAAGATAATATTACAGATGCGTTTTGGGTGTGATTAACTTRCACAACATAAACCGTTGTCGTAGTTTGAAGCACAGTGGAATCAGTCTGACGGAGAACTTTTACAGCGTTTCAGACGAACTCATAAAATCTTATCAATCATTACGACGGGCAAGCGTTTGATTAGCCTTTTATTCACTGATTAAAAAAAAAAAAACCATTTCCAAGAAGTTAATGCCCTATACGTGTTCAAATTTAAATAATACTATTATAATAATATACCTATCATATTGTGTACCTTTTTGTTCTGTGTGACAAAAATATTATACGTGGTTAACGGTTTTTTTGAAAAAAAATAATTACAATAATATTGATAATAATTAATAATATTCTAGGACAGTATGAGTATGATATTATTATACCATATTGTAAAATATAGTAGTTACGATCAGTTAGTAAATTAAGCAYTCTGAACTTGAATGATAATAATATAACAAAATAAAATGTTTGCATTCTGTGTGTACATAATACATTATAATATTATAAAGTTGTATTAAATGGGTTGTTTAGGATATACGGACAAAACAAAATGTTAATAACAGTAAAATATTAAGTGCAGTACTTTCACAAATCTGCTGACCCGATTCTCATGATTCATAGGCCCATGTGTATATTATGTATCTATTCTAAATGGATCGAGAGAAATCTACAAGCCACTTCCGGAATAAATCAATTTCTGGTTCCTTATTGTTTTTTTATCTTATAAACATTGTATGATTTATATCATTTTGAAAATCACGGTATTATGAGAAAAAAATTCAAAAAAAAATTCAAACTTATACTTACTGCGAGTAGTAACTGCAGTAGTAATATATAGTGCCGATGGTGAAGAMAATTATCAAATGACGGTCTTATATTTAATCGAAACTGTTATCGCTAAATTCGGCGTTGTGATAAACTGTTAGAACGTGGAAAACAGACGTGTTGCAGTAAAGTCAATAAACCGTCGTTAATATTTATAAATCCCGTTGGAGCTAACTACGATGAGTTTATTATACAGTTTTATGTGAAATGCCCATAAAAAAACTTTCTAAAACGAACTAATACTCGCAAATCCAATAGAACTMTCAGAGTCGTCGGTAAGAAGTTATATGGYTACCGAACACCGACTACAAATTGACATTTCTCCGATCTCAAAAAATCGATATCGAGGTAAATCAGAACTTTATGCGTGCTGTTGGCTCGTTTGATATAATATGTCGTGTACCGARTTAAGAATTTATCGCGGTTATCGGTTATTGAAATGTAATAATATGATACACAAACGTTAATGTGTTTAATTATAGTACATGTTTGAATTTATACTTTCCGGATGCCATAAAGACCATAAAGACCGATTCACAATCTACCAGAGGTCACGTTTAAAGCGTTTTATTACTCGGATACAAGACGTGTTGTTTCTGACGTGGWGCATTAGCGTTTGCGATAAATTATGTTTGACCGTTTTCGTTTTGACRGGAAATAGAAATATAAGTAAGACCAATACATTAGAARCGTATAATAGATAACGAAACACGACCTTTAACCATACCACGTAGTTGGTCACGAAAATTSTGACGATTCTCATAATTTATTATAAATATTCCCTTTATTTATTCACTCGACCGTCTCCTCCCCCTCCCCCAATTAAATTTAGGATCGATATGTAAATCCCAAGATCAAGAGAGAATATTATATCATATTGGGAGTCTGTTGAATCCCTAGAAGAAGTGGAGCGTAAACTTCAAATTCCTCGTTGTGACATTTTGACTTATACGAAAATCGCATTTATTGAAAAAAATGAACAATGTTTTTGAGGATCTGTAGGCGTGGAGATTTCGGGATTTCAATTTCGTCAGTACCCCGAGCTGTACGCAATAATTTGGTTATTTTTAATGCGGATCCTCTAGGGAACGCGTCGTGCAAATTTATAATAACTAAATGCAAAGTTTGCTTTTGGTATGACAATAGAAAGAAAAGAGGTGAACTCATTGAATAGGACACGAATGGGGGTTTAAAAGCGATTTAAATCAATAATGTTTAAATTAGAAACTTTGCTCGACACCACCCCACTGAGGTCTGYGTTTCCGTCTACGCCCAGCGCAGCACTGCCGATTTTGCATTCATTTAGGCATCATCTGGCACACAACTCACATGTTGTACACGGGGGAATGGACTTGTGCAAATCGCCTGTCTGAATTGTCGTGATTATTAAGCAAGAAAAAGGGTCCAGTACAATAAGGCGCGAACGAATGTTTGTGACACATAAACGTGATTTTATTTACATATTATACATAGAGGTATATTTACGATAACGATAAAAAAATCCAATTTTAATTTAAGATAATACACTCTATGAAAAATAAAACAGTTTATAGGTTATTATGATTATTGGAAAATAAAAATTTGTAAAGCTTAATTTTTCACTAGTCGTTAATCCACTTCCCTTTTGATGATTTTTTTCTTTACCATACCTAATGAACAATATTACTATCTTTTGTTGTCTGAAAACTGCATTTTTATTTCTATTCCTTTTTTACACAAGTTGGTTTTCTCAACAAAATAATTCGGTTAAAATAAATTAATTGCTGACGAGATTAATGGTATTTTTTCAGAAATATTTCTCATAACAGTAATTGACATTTACGTTTGATAAGCAAACTTTCCAATTTCCAAACAATAATTAAAAAATTATCTATTGAAAGGAATGTGAATGGCGTGTCGTAGAACACTAGTGCACAAAACAATAATTATAATATCTTACAACGCAAATTGTTGTGCGTTCGTTAAAAAAAAAAATGTCTAATTCATAGGTAACCATTAACGGTATATAGGTATTAACTGTTATATGACTTGAAATTATTTATTTTCACGTTTACGTCAGAACGACAAGTCTTTGATATTAAAAAATAATATTACGTTTTAATGATTACAGGTGTACAAGAAGAAAACGGAAGCCGCCAAAAAGGATTACTTGAAGGCCTTGGCTGCATACAGAGCGAGTCTAGTGTCGAAGGTATTTAATTTACAATATTACTATCAAATCCTATGGAGAACATAATATAATATAATATTGTTATTTCATTTAGCGCGGTGGTCTCGTTTTATTGACACTACTCTGTTAGGTATACGCTGCAGTTCTATAACTTTTACAAACGKAAATTTTAGCGAAAACTTTCCCGRGAAAATAGTATTCAAAATTATTAATAGTAAAGTTGTATCGTGTTMTTTTTATCGATCGGTGKCAAGGTGGTTGCTTTTGGTGGTGACGTCGGGCGTGGGGGTCGATGGTCGGAGGGGCATAGGTGTGGTGGTARTGGTRATTTTCAAACAAGYGGAAAACTTAACGACCGCCACCCCAGCCCGGCAAAGAAGTTTGCAAAGTCTATCTGTGCTCCTCAGGCACGTGCTGGGGTTAAGGGTAAGAGGATTCATAGAATGTAAACTCGTGCGAGGGAGAACCGGATAGCCATAAATAATAATAATAATTCATATGATAACAATTATATGATTTAGAACTTAAACCACCGCGCCTGTATATATTGTTTCTAAAATAATAAAGGCATAATACGTGTTCATATTTGTGTATGTGTGTGTGTGTATGTGTGACTATTATATTATATAACACGACTATATATCTAGTACTTAAACACGTCGGTGTCATTTTTAGGGAGGGGAACCAGACTCGAACATGTACGCTGGAGGGTACGTGGGCAGCTACGGTGGCGTGTACAACGGATACTCACCACCCGCGGGCCTACCGTCGCCACCCATGTCAGTGCCGTCGCCTCACTCGCAAGTCCACGGTCAAGTCAAAAAGTCCGCCATGATGATGGACAATCGGGTCCCGGTCATGAACAGCCACCCGCAAAACCACAACCAATCGGTGAGTGTACCAGCACAAACATAATACATTCCTGCGTTTAGAGGGTGAGAAATCGGTGGTGTTTAATCATATGATTTRTTTTTATTTGCTTGAMAATTTTTTACGTGACACCATAATTATTGTGATGTAATGACGAGTACACTCAAACACGCATTTCTACACGTGATAATGTTGTATTGTGCGATGGCGATCGCGGGTGTTCGGCTATACAGTGTTATTAGTATGTGATGGAGGTTTGGGTGGTTAGGTCGGGTCGGGTACGGATTTGACTTCCTGTTAACTGCAGCTACAAGCACTACATACATAATACAATGTAAACACTATAAAATATAATAGCATAATGTTATTAGTCGTGCCGTTTGATCGCGACAAATCCCGGACCAGCTATAATAATAACAATATTATGATCATCGGAAATACACCGAACATGATATTATTATTATCTGGGTACAAATCCGTGTAGCAATATAGTGTTATGGCGATCCTATTAGCATTTTTTACAGCTTTTTTTTTTTCTTCGGGCTTAACTGTCGTGTGAAACGATACGTTATGTCAATATATAATATGTGCACACGTCAATTCCGTTTGTTTGCTTCAYGTGGCTTAAGATTTTAACCGTAGTCGGGTTGGAATATAAAATCATAGGAGGTCTATTCTGAAAATAACTTTAAGAAACTCGTACGAATAATATTAAACTTTAAACAGATGTTATTGGTCACAATCCAAATTTAATACTTTTTAATGAGTTGGAAAACGGCAGTATGGGACTATATTGAAAACTTCAAAGACCACTAAATTATTATAATTCTAGACAACGTCTCGTGATGCTTTTAAAGTATAGGTATACGTAAATATAATTTGTTCATTTATTGTATCATCTTGGTCGCATATTATAGTGGGATTATTATTATTTAATATGTATATATATTTAATAATGGTTTCAACTTTATGGCACCCTTATAAGCGGATTCGTCTAACGACTAACGAGATGATTACTATTAATAAATAAACATTAAACGATGTTAGTACCTACTCTACTCGTACAAACTAAATATATTAAAATACACAACTACTGTGATTTTCAAATAGTGAATAAAATATRTCAAAACATATTAATATATTATACACGCGCATAGAGTTTTGACGTAATTAGTCGTGTTTGATCTGTTTAACATGCAGTCAGTTTGCATAAGTATTTTATTTTAAAAGCGCACTGCTCATTAAAAGTGAAAGTAATGTCATAGGCATTTAATGTCCAGATAAGTACAATAATTTTTCTTRAAAAAATAAACCAAATACTGAAATCTAAAAAAAAAAATGTATACCTCTAGTAATAAATTACTGAGTATCTAACGACTATTTGTTTGGCTTGTGATGTAATTTTAGTTTTATGAATAATTATTCCCGAAATATTGCGCCATTTAAAGAGTTTAGTTGTTTAAATGTTTATATAAATAAACAAAGTGAAAAGTAGAAAATATTAATATTTCTAACTCTCACACAGAGTACAGAGGTACATATAATATTATGTACCTAGTTAGWAGACATAYTTATATGATATGGTAACAATTATTGCGTGTTTTTTTGAATATTCGTGTAACCATATTAAAATATACATAACAAAAACTAAGCAATAATATTTTCAATTTTGGTTCGCTAAAATCGCATCCACAGTATAATTCATTCAAACGTTTCCATAAACGATCCATAGTATATTATTAATAATGTAATCAATGTGATAGTAATATAACTGTTATTTTTKAACCGCCAAAAATGATTTAGTTAACGTCGTTGCAATCCACACAGTGCACTCTATTGTCGTCGGTTTTCTTTCGTAGGGTCGGCGAGGAGGTGTAGAAATCTCGTCAGTCGTCACCCTTAGTGGCGACGGCATGTCTACATCGTTTGCAACGCGTCACAACATTGAATTACGTTGCATATTTATCGTTATATTTTTCTTTTGTCTTTACAGCAACAGACAGCCGGTCTGATCGGCAGCCACAACCAGGTCGCACCAGGACTGAACCATTTATCACAGCATCCCCAGGGCGGACTTCCCCCGTCGCCGCAACAGTCACAGCCTCCGACGTCACCGGCCAATGTTTCGTCATACGTGAGTACCATCGGCATATTATKATACCTACACGYGTCTCACCCGAGTATACYTATARGTTTGGTTCCTATTAAAAACTTGGCAATTTAGTTATATGGTCCGCGCTCTCGTCGACGATATGYTGCAGAATAAATATCACCGGAATTGACAAAGATATAAAACGTACAGGATTTATTTTGATTTTCACTATGGCGTCTGATTTCCGGGTATTAAGCGCGAGTGGTGTGTGTGTGTGGAGTGAGAAGGGAGGTATTATATCCGCCGTACGCCTCGTAAATAATTTTCGATAGACTCGAACCGGTATATGAGTCCAGCAACAAGTGTATATTGACGGAATACCTACGACGACGATGGCCTTACGATAATGACGATAACAAAAAACAATAATAATATTAAAATGTATAGCACCCAAGACGTGAATGATGTACGTATATACATTATTGTCTAGGTAGCCTCATACAATTTATTAGGTATTTCATTATTCTTACGTAATGAGTTGGCTCGTACATCACGGTGCGTTATTGAGAGACGTACAAGTGATTGATAATGATCAATCGGTGTCCCAACGGGGGATGTTTATAATCTTTTCCCCGATAAGGGTTGCATAAGTACAATAAATGCGACCGGTCGAGATGACGTATAAAAATATCGGATTCGATGATTTATTGGATTAATATAAGGAGAATATTCACGAGGCACGTTTCCGCCCGTTCGTATCGTGACAGACACTGCTGCAGTTTCCGATTCGATAGCCCACCCACGCGCCGACAATGAGTCGCTTCTCTAGAAATCGCTAAAATATGATTTCGGTATTCTGTATTAATCAGCGCTTAGATTTTCTTGTATTCACCCCATTTTACCAAAGCAGTTTCGAAATGTTTTTCAACGGCAAGACGCTCATTTTCCTACGAAACTTATAATGTTTTCCATTCGAACGCTCCGTCGTCACTTCTTATCTGCACACTCGTAATCGGCTCGCTGAACTGCGCCTCTCCTGATAACTTGACGTTATTATAGTGCAACGAACACATTATCGTTAAAATGATTAGTGGCGAAAAACAGTCAGTTTAAAATTCGAAATTCGGGGGGTAAATAGTTGGCCGAGCTTGGTCTCGTTCTCTATAGTATATCAATATAATATAAATAAAATATAAGATCTCGTGAATAATATCTCGAGCGTCAAATTTTATAAATAGTAGGCAATATTTTAATATCGTTATGCACGTGAAAAAATAAAAGTAAAAACGTCACGTCCGAAGTATAAAATAATATAATATGTATATACGGTTTTTGTTGCACTCGAGACGGTCGCCATGTAACAATTTATACACGATATTCTATCGATTTATGTAAGCAGATTTAGTATCTACTTTAATTAGTATAGAATAGGGTCCGAGGCACAGTGATTGAATTCCCGTTTGTTTGCTATCGAATAAAATCAATACGAGTGTTTAATTTAAAGACCACTCGTCGTGATATTATATAACATACATCATTGTGTGTCGTCTCGGGGGACTGGGAATTCCTATTGTCCTATTGGTAAGTGCCATATAAAATGTGTAGAGACAATCGTCGTTTTAACGATTCCACGTTAAATAGATTTTGGTCGAGCGCCTTTCTGTCTATCCAAATTCGACTTGTAGCAAATGGTCCCGTCCCGCAGCTGTCCCGATTATATTCATCGTTGTTCTCTATTGTCAATAGAATAGATATACAAAATGGTCTTTTTGAAAATCACATCGGGTATGGCGTTGGGAAAAGCTCTATCGATCTAGGACCATACAAAATATCATATGAATCCGAAATCGATGAATTCTCTTCTATGACACATTAAAACACCACACTTATTAGTCCTAAATTATATTATTTGTATCGTTTTCCAGTGGCCGTGGTGTTTCAATCCAACGCAAAACAGCCATTAGCCGGTGTCTCGCCGACACCAGCTCAGTTGCCGTTCGGTCGACGTGTGCATACGAAACGGATGCGGCAACGACGACGTATGTCTCTCACCGGAAGTCGGATGGGACGACGAATATAATCGCGGTTACGAATGGCGGCCCCGACACTGCAAGTAAGTCCGAATAAAAAAATTTAAAAAAAAAGACACCTGTGTCGTGTATGGTCGTGTGGCAAATACGCATAACTTCCACGACGGTAAGTTCCAGAAATTTCGTTGGTTAGTTTTTTTTCTTCTTCTCTGATCTGAGCCCCAATGAAACCCTTTAGAACGAATTGTGTCCCATGTTGTCTTAAGGTACACACTAATTGCAGTATCCGTGACAGATGTCGTCGAGGAAAAGCGTTATATTTTTGAAACGTACAAACAGTAATTTTCTCGAAATTAATAGTGATTACCATATAATATTGGCTAAAAAATACGAAACAGGTATACCTATAATCTATTTAGGTTACACTCTCGGCGGTCGAGTAGAAAAATCGGGCAGGAAAAAGAGTAGATGTGTAAGCATTACTATATCGTCTCTAGATATTATGTTCAATGAAAATTACAAATATATTATATTTTTGTTGTTGGATGAAAATGTGACGGTTAACGGTCATTGATCTCTCCGAAGGTTCGGTAAATGTCAACTTGCAGCCACACGATTATATAATACACGTACCACAATATCTGTCTCGAATTGTTGTTTTCTTCGCCACATCTGCCTTAACACGTGTAGTCGACCATCTTTTAGATTATAATACTATCAATGTGATTATTTTCTAATAATGTATGTTTTGTTTTATAGAATTATGGTGAACGACTGGTCTTAAGGACGCTAAAGAAACCTTAAACCAAACGCACGAAGTCGATCATCTTCCTCGTCCTATTCCGGAAAACAAGGAGACCTGGAGACCGCTATCTGTCCCGTGTATATTATACGATTATTATTATATTAATTATATTGTATTATATTATTATTATTATTATTATTATTATTATTATTATTATAATCATAATTATTACGTATGTAAATCCCTGTGACTACGAGTATCTCATATTATATAATGCTTGTGAATATTTATATTTATAAGACAAAAACAATATGATAATTGATAATATTATCATTATATTTAACGCGTACTATAATATTATGATATTATTATTATTACATTCATAAATATAATAAGCTGCAGTTTGTACATATATATATATTATTTTTTTTGTTGCGATAATATCATTGGATTATAATGAATGTAAATAAGAATGTCGTATTTAAGCAATAAATTTGCTCCTGTAAATGTAAGCAATGTCTCTCGTGACAATCCCAATGCTGTTTTTGTGCACATAATAAATATAAACATAATATTATTAATATTGTTAAAATGAACTACTATTTTTTAACGTTTAAACCGTTTTTTTATGTTAAAGCATTAAGTTTTTTTTTATGTAAATAATATTTACAATTTTGTTTTGTATTATATATTAAATATAATATTATATGACCTAAACCGTACAAGCGATATGGCGAAGTTCACGTTAGTCTTGTCTTATATATTATTATTTACCTTGAAACCCTTGGTAACTAGTACCACGGTAAATAAAGTATTAATGTCAATCGGGCACTGTAAATTGTCACGTGTTTRAGTTATAAAGTGTTATGATACCTACTAAAGGACATTTAAAATTTAAAATAAAAATAGCTAGGTACTCATATCATTGTGAAATTATATTATTTTTTTCAAGTATTAACATTATTGCCTAATATTTATTTTTGTTTTATTTTTATTTTATTATTTAGCCAAATTGAAAATTTTAAAGTTGTTATTATAATGGATATTTTTTCTCTTTTGTTTATTTTTTAAGTAGGTATGATTTTATACTTTGTACATAAATGATTAAGAACGCTCATGTTATCTGTTGTTTTTCAATCTGTTTATATAGTATATAAATAAAATGTAAACGATTAAAAATGAAAAATAAAAAATGTAATTAAATAGTAGAAAATAATTGCTAGTTTTCTGATTATTGAATCAGCTGCAACTGATTCGTTGTCGTTTTTTTTTTTTTACAAGCGATGGTGTCAATGACTAGATACTATTTAATATTTATTAATTATTATTATATAATAATTACACTTGAGGTAATATAATAATTTATCTATGACAGTGTTGAATTATATGTTAAACGAGTGCGTAAAACCAAATTATATTCGGAAAAAATCAGTTATTTTCAATAAATGGTTAAAAATAATCAGATATTTTTCACTTTAAAAAGCATATTATATTTTTGATAATAATAATGTGATTAATGTATCTCAAGTTATTAATCCGATCTGTAGGTGCTAGGGATACAAATCAAAATAAATCAACTTATAAAAATTTAATGACAGCATCCAAGAAGTACTAGGTCCTGATCCAGACAACGGCAACATTGAAAAATTCTCAAATACTTAAAACCAACTAATTTATATAACTTTATATGATGCTGTACCAAAATATAAAACATAAAAACCCTTTTTTTTCTTCGTGTTTTTACATCTTTTTTAATAATTAAAGCCAATAATCTTTGTTTCTGTGGCTCGTTCAAATATTAAAAAAAAAAAAAAATTAAAAATTAATCTCTTATGTATTACCTGTAGGYATTACAGCATAAATTAATATTGTTATCTATTTAAAATATCTAATTGTAAGACTTTACGAGCCATAAGAAATAATAGTTACAAACTGAAATACCCAATAACACGTTCGCGATTGATTTTGATTATATAATTCATTCTATTTCAACATTTTTGAATTATCAGTTTTGCACACGCCCTTACACATTTAGATTTTCTACGTTTACGTCTTACATATATGTATAACATTTTTTTATTTTTTTATTTATTGTAATCATAAAATGATTCGGCACATATGGTGCTATTACAAGAAATTATTTTTTAATGGTATATATATTTTATGCTGCAAATCGTCTTGAATATTTGGATATTTAATAATTCAGTATAATACTAAAATTTGGCCTGCAGTGAAATAATGTATACTTACTTRACTTATACCAAATTGTTGTTTTAAATCATTATTTATTTAAATAATAGCCCATTATATTTAATCGGAATACGCTTTTAATGAGAAATTTATACTTTTATATACGGTTGGAAAAATGTTATTATTATCTCAAATGACAAATTACCTACTTTTTCGTTTATTACACACACACAACAGCAGTTATTACACACATTTAAATTTTAATATTTTCCATTGAATACAAAATGAGTTTCTAACCGATTTAAGGATGGTTACAGGAACTTACTTCATGCTTTTATAAAATGCTCAGAATATCGATTTCTACCAAAAAAAATTATTTAAACAATATAACAATATAATCGTTGTATTAAAAAATGTGTGTGGTGTCACATTTACTTAGAAGGTTACATAAATTCAATTTTAATAAATTCACACCGAGAATCKATATTCAACTACTGTTACTAAGTTTCAGTTCTTTATTAGTAGTAAAAATTGTGAGGTATTACCTTTTATGTTTTAATCTAAATTACGATAAAATAATAATAATGGCGATGATGATGATGATGATGATAATAATAACAATAATAATGAGATTTCCTTCTTTGTTGGATGTCTTTTGTTAGTAACTATTGTTAGTTTCCCAAAACAGTGTTTAGGTTTTTGTACTGATGACTTTCAAGATTGTTTTATAACAAATAATAAGCAGTTAAATTTTGTTTAAGTAGATTATTACCTGCTATATTGTTCTTTGGTATTATTTGTTTTTGTTCAAATTTTAATTAAAATTACGTTTTTAAATTAAAGTTTCGATTTGGATAATAAGATATTTTTATTATTTCAATTTCAATTAATCACCATTATTATGAAAGATAATTTACATTATTGAAAATTTTAAAACTGATAAATAATTATTTATTTATATTAGAGGTCAAACATTTCTGAATCAATTTATTAAGAATATCTATGATATTAAATATTATTGTCAATATTTTATATTTTATATGTTACTAGCTGATCCTGTACTACATTGTTCGTCTCAAATTTAATTCCCGTAGATTTGAACGCTTATATGTACCTTGTTAAATATTTAAACGTAAACTGCATACATTTTAAACACAATAATTATGGTTTTTTTAAAACTAAATATGAAGTATAGGTACAACATTATATTGATAATAAAATGTTATAATTTTTATATCTATATTTTTTGCGATYTTTAAATCACAACCACATACAAAAATTGTCTTTCATCCAAGAATGATACAATTTGTTGAAACATACTGATCTTAACCATTTGACGCTACTTAAAATATGTGCGTAAACATGTACCCAACAATATTAAACACATTGTATATAGTAATTGAATAAAATTACATATTATTGACAGAATCGACCAAAAGTGTTTGATTTTTGTTTGTGATGATGTCTCGCCGATCATATACTATAATATATTGTTAGTGACTGCCAATATTGTATGATAAATGTTGTAATATTTACTGCAATTTAAAACATTGGACTTACTTATCAACAAATTATAATTTTATAACTATTTGTTGTTCAATTTAACATTCTTTTATGATGCMATTAAGTAATGTGCATATTATACGTGTTATGGAGACTAACAAAGTTATGTGCTTTTTACTAAACGTTTGTATTTGCACATTTTAATCATAAGAAATACTATAACTTATAAATTTGTAAAATTCTGTTGAATTTTTCAATCTTTCGTTTTCGTTTGTACCTAAAAGATAAATTAATAATCATATTTATATTGCATTCATTAAAAAAAAAAAAAATTGAGCCTAAATAGTAAATAATTGTATTGTGTTCAAAGAATGTAAATTATAATTTAAAAAAAAAAAAATGGCATATTATACTATTATTATATTAAGGGAACTAAATATTATCAAATTGAATTTTAGCTTCAACGATGACAATTATGTTCATTCGAGTATATTAATTCACTTAAGGACTTGTCATTCTGCATAATCCGCGAACAAGTTTATTTTCATATTTTAAAAATATTTCTCTGTATAAGTTTCTGTACTCAAACAAACAATAAGATAAAATCTTCATAAACTTTATTTACATCGTAATACCTAATGTATCAGAAAGTTGCGATTAGATTGTTATTCTGAAAGAGTTTTTGAAATGGCAGTGAATTTAAATGAAACTTTTCAACGTCAGTCTTGAAACTACTTAGAAATAACATTATGTAGGTATGTCATTATAGGAATTTCGATCTATTCAAAATTTTAACTATTCTCTAGGGAACATTATTTGGGTTTGATGAAGTCAAAAACAATATATGTGCTGTATAAGTACATATATTATACAAATACGGCCAGTAAACATCAGAATGTTTGTTTTATTATAGTTAATTACGATCAAGCAATAAACATTTCATATTCAGTTTCTATGAATCTTCTTGAAACTAAATAGACCCTATTTTATGTGGCTGTATGTAAAATGTTTTTCAGGATATATTATATAGTATGAGATAATTCAAGTTTGTGGTATTGGTTGAAAATATCCAGTTCTATATTTTATGTATTTTAAAATAAATTAAAATAAATTCCTCTTTGAATGGGATTCTATGATTGAAAAATCAAATTTTTGGAATATTGATTTTTTATTTTTTTATTTTATTTTCATTTTCTCCTAATATACTTTAATCACATTGTGCGTCTTATAAAAATATTTGACATTAATAATAAATTATATGACCGTCACAAATTTTCATATTTATCAGAATATTCTATGTTTACATTAAATAAATAAATTAAAAATCAGTAATTGCAAAAAAAAAAAAAATGTTTAGGCTGTTATTATGTATGAATGTGTTTAGGAGATGTTTTATATCTGAAAACTATTATTTATTAACAACACATAACATCCAGGACATAGTACTGTAATATTTTTTTGTAAATTTCTCTAAAAACATTTTTAGCCAATTAATTTGGTCTTGAAACAATATTTGATCGTTGGAAAATTTATAACAATTAGCATGATATGCAGTATTATTGTACGCATTGCAGGATGCATACATTTACAGTAATGTCATACGTCAAGTAATAATTCAGTTTATTAACAAAACGCAATAATTTCGTTTCTTATTTCACAATGATCTTATTCGTTAAAATGCATTAATAAAAAATAATGTTTATACAAAAGAACAACTTGTACCTGTACAATATTAATGGAAACAATAGACTAAAAATATAATTATGGACATTAATAGCTAATATTATTTTATATATATATATATATAACCGTTATTAAACAATATGACTGAACAACAACGGGGTAATATTCAAATATTCAAAATAATAATAATAATAATAATAATTGTAACGCGTCGCTATTTATTTAGGGTTCAGTAGGAGGTTTATAACGTAATATTCTGATTGCCAGAGGCTATATAAATTTTAAACTATTTCGTTATGAACAATAGTAATATAATAACATAAACAGTTATGCCTGTTATGTAGGCTCACTGAAAACATGAATGTTTAGAATGTTGTAGAAATATTATTGTTTATTAAAAAAAAAGTCTAATCGGCTAATAATAATAACGTACATTTGTATTGTTAATGTTTTCTGTCTGGTCGAAAAGCCTTTCCTCTTTTTTCAATCTCGTATAATATGGCCATATGGGTCTCGACAAATTATAATATAATTTAATAGGTGGGTAAGSTATGTGGAAAAAATCATGTAATAAAATACCTGACAAATAGTATACCTATGGAAGGTATGTATTTAATTTGTAACAATAGTAAATTAAATTGTATAATATCATACATACATATATATATATATATATATATATAACATACATAAATATATACATTGTACATACATTATTTTGTAAATATTAATACGATAATAATATTATATTATATGGTAATAATTATGTACACACAAATTGGCGAGCACACAAAATATCGTTTGATTTTATTATGAAGTTTTGGTAACTCGTATTTATAATAGGTACCATATTACAACAAATTAACATGATAATAATAATAATAATAATAATATGTTATATGTCGTTCCGCGGTTGACCGGTAAGCTTAAACAATAACACTATCGTACTATTTAGTACACATTATCTACCATATGGCTATAGTTTTATTAAATATTATTAAATATGGTATTGCGATCTCAAATGATTTATAGACGTTTTCGAGAAGCAGAATGAAAAACCGATCCATGATAAAAGGTTTTGCGTCGRAGAATGTATGGTATTTTTATAATTTATTATAATACCATAAGCTTTGAATAGGAAAGAGGTTGTACTGCTTTTTTTTCAAAAAAAAAAAAAAAAAACTGTATAAAATTGTCCTAAAAATCAATAATTCATTATATTATGGCAATAATTTTGTTGATACCGTTGTAATATAAAACCATATCTCGAAATGTTACGATCAATGTAGCGACGTGGTTAAATAAATACATTGTCAATATATTATTATAAAATATTTCTCTGTCCTCGTCTTCCGACATGGATCAGGTGTTGTCTTTACAATTTTTAAAATCATCTCGCGCAGTGTTTAAGTTTTAATAATATTGCACTAAATAATTCAATATTTTGAAAACATCAACAATAATAACAACTTTTTCTATCTAGCTAGTGACCCGAAACTCATCGGCCTTCCGGCGGAACATCAATATCAATATTACAGTATTATAATTGTGTGTATTTATTTATTTTTTGGTCGCAATTGACTTCAATAGGGGACTTATTGGGATTACATGTGTAGACCATTAATTGTGGCAGTACCTCTTTTACATAGTATATTTTTCTAATGCATTTTATCGTTACAACATCAATACACACGTTTAATATTTAATTTAATAATATAAATTATTATTTAAATAATATTTAATCAATATTTCACGGTTATTGTGAGCAATATTCGACTCGGGTRTAAGYGTTTTCCTTTTTCCAATGACATCTTTATTCCGACAAAAAATTATGATATACTGTGCACGTATAACAACACTGTAATCTATCGTATTACTTTATTATATATATCGTATCCAGTTAAAGAGAACTAAATTTACATCGGTTCGGGGCGAATCATCTTTTCATTTTATTTATTTGTTTTTAAACTTTTTCGRTATGCATAATAACAAGATCCAAATAAAATAAATTATTTGTTTGTTTCTGTCTCGTGTCGGTAAACTTTTAACAAAAAGTAAAATCTGTACCAGGTTTGGCCACATACAGTTTGTAAAAACTTTATTCCGGCACACAGTTTTTCTCTTATTTTGATTTTTTTTTTTAGTTTCTAGTTTTCTACCTTGGACGTATTTTGTATGAAATCGTTTAAACTAGCCGTCATCGAATTGAATTTTAAAATTTCGAAAGTGTATACTTTTGGTAAAGTTAMAATCTAATCGTGTTGGGAAACACGGAATTCGGACGACTGTTTATTCATATAACATTATAAACTCTATTTCGAACTGTTACACCCTATATTTACGTGTAACATAACAGAATACTAAAATCTTGGGTCTTTGACGATGATAAGAACGATCACTAATTAATGTCGATAAAACTTGTATCATGACCGACTTCGAGATAAGGCTTTTTTAATATTTATCAATTGTGGAGAAATACAACACGCTTTTAGCTTTACGAGCATTTTAAGATTTGTTTTGACAGCACGTTGGAGGCCATATGTATACCTACTGATGTCGTATAATATTCGTYTACCGTGGTAGATGCGTGATATTATTGACGATGTTTCCGTTTAATTAGAGCCTATTTATTTACTTTTGATGGATACAATATTAATAATAATGATAATAATAATTGCATGTACCATTCAGTGATAAGATATCGTCGGGTCGAATATTATTGTCATTGGAAAACGAAGATTTCATTCAAAACGCATCAGAGCGCAACGTGTGTAAAACAACAGTAATTATTATAACATAATTTCAATATAATTATTGGTAACTAAAATATTATTAACGACAGACATAATAACAATAATGATAAAATTAACACTAACAACATTTCAAGTGAACATAAAACCGATTGAACAATAATGAACCGTATCGAACAAACAATAGTTATAATAATAATTCCAACGGTATAGACGTAAGTAAGTTGGTGGATAAGGGAGTGGATGGTGAGGGGGGTATGAATAGGAGAGGGGTGTTCTTACGGAGAAATCCATCATGGGGAATGCACCGAGGAAACATTTATTATTTTTATTTTCAAGATATTATATAATATAGTATAACGTCATTAACATTATCAGTTACATATTATGTAATAATATTATGTACAGAGACATCCTTAGTGGGTGTCGTTTCGTGTGTGCTTTTTCACACGGAATTGCAACGCGTCGAACGTTAAGTTATGTCATAAGTAGAACAAGTCGCTGCCGCTGCCGCCGCCGCCACCGCCTCCGTCACCATCGCCACCGGCGCCAGACGACTCACGGAGCTGGTCGCATATCCTGGTCAGGTCGTTGGCCAACCGGTCGATTTCCGTGTCGGACGACCGACGGTGGCCGCGGTTCGACTGTCACACGTGCAGCTCCTCAATGGCCGTCCCCTTGGTGCACGGCTCCGTGGCCGCGTCCACGGCCAGGCTGGACGAAGACGCGTGCGGGTGATGCTGGTGTTGCAGCGGTGGTTGCGCGGCACCGGCGCCACCGGCCACYGGGCCGGAGCACGTGCAGGCCGGCAGCGTGGACGAGGCCGCCGCGTGTCTCCTGATGGTCCCGTGAAGGTGCTGTTGGTGGTGATGGCCGCCGCTGCCGCCGTGGTGATGGTGATGGTGATCCGGCCGCGGGCACTTAGGCGGAGGTGGTGGTCGGGGTAGCGTGGACGAGGCTCCGATGCCCACGATGCTGCCGCCCGGGTGATAGCACTGGTCGGCGAATTCGGCGGGTGGCGGTTGCGCGGTGCTCCTGGGCACACTGCCCTGGTCGGTCGGGGGCTGCGGACCGTTCGGGGTGACCACAGCGGTTACAGGAACTGGAGGTTTCTTTAGTATTGAGTGTGGTTGTTGGTGCTGGTGCTGCTGCTGCAGGTGTTGCGTCACCGGCCGCGTCTCCATCATTTGCAACAGCTCAGTGGCTCCTAGAACACGGTACGTGGTTAGAGCGAGGTAAAGGAGTACTTGACTTTTAATGACATTTTTCGGTCTTAATGATGTTATAAAAAAACAAAAACGACATATATACGCAATCGACGTATCACGGTTCA